GGCGGAGTGGCTTCGGCGGACTTCGGCTGGATGGCTTCAATCACTCACGATGTCGCAGAACGGGCGCTACTAGAGGCCGCCACCATCGCAATTCACCACCCCCCTAGTAGCTTTACCATAAGGAGAACCGCTATGCCGCGAGACGTTTTCTCGTACGAACACTTATAACTTTTCACTAGAACGTCTCCAATAAAACTGAATTTACCATTAGACAAATAAATATAGTCGCATTCGGAAAGTGCATAACGCTTTTTTATTGAGATTGTCCATGTAATGAAACAATCGTTTAGATAGAAACGCGAATAGTAAGCGAGAGATTGAGGTTTATTTTGTCCGTTGTATTCTCGGCGTACTGAGACTCGCGTTTAAAATTGATTTTTCTCTATTTACGCACTCTTAAAGTGAACTTTAGTTCGATCCATTGAAAGTTAAGATCCTTAGTTAAGATAGGAAGTGAAGGTCGCGCCGATAATGCATTTTTCGAATAGCGACGACCGATTATACTCCGAAGGTCGTAAAACACGATGAGGTCCCGCGGCTCGCTCTTCCCAAGTCTCTATACACGGACTTGAACGACCTTTGAAAATTATATTTATATCATTCGTAAATAACACTCGTGCGATCATCAATTACTTATAAAAAAAAAAAAAAATTATCATCGACGTTCGTATTATTGTAGTAATCCATATAAATCCAATACATCCGCGTAAATGTTGACAAACCGCGCTCGTCTGCGTATCGCTTTAATATGTTGTATCGACATCGTCGTCATCATCATTATTATCATAATCATCATACAGACAAAAATTCATTTCAACTAATATACTTATATGAGACTATAACAAAAATTCATAAACCCTGCACGATATATATTGTATAATTATAACATAACATAATAATACTATACAAAGAAAGAAAGAAATCTTTCACTCACACCTATCCTTCATTGTATTTATTTAGACAATTTTAAAAGTTAACATTTTAGCCGTATATTTTTAGTATTCAGTAGCAATATAATATATTATAATAATAGTGATTGTTTTATATACATACATACATACATATTCTTAGTACGTAGTAAATTTAAAAGGCGTTATGGTACTTTTTTCGAAAAGTTATAGAATAGTAAATTAAGTATTTGTTCATCTATGAATTATGATTGAACGTATATGTATGTATGTATGTATGAACGTATATATATATATATATATGTGTGGTCGAATATTATATTGAGTTAGAAGAACATTCATTCATTATAAATCGATATTTTTTTTTTTTGACGTTTCATATCTAGGAAACATAACAAAGCATCAGACAAATGTGCGGCCCTGAAAAGGGCCTTTTGGTTTGTTTATTCATGTATACGTGTCACCACAACGTGCTACACTTTATACACTGTCATATACACCTTGATGATGTATCCGTTGTAATGCATAGAGATAGCACGCGATCGTGAACGTAGTGTCGTGGTCGTGGTCGCCGATCGGGCGATCGTCGGCGACACACGCGCGCACACATGGTGTGGTCAACGAAGATGATGTTCTTAGCCGCCGAAACCGTATAGGGTGCGCCCTTGGCGTTTCAGCGCGTACACGACGTCCATGGCGGTGACGGTCTTCCTTTTCGCGTGCTCGGTGTACGTGACCGCGTCGCGGATAACGTTCTCGAGGAACACCTTGAGTACGCCGCGCGTCTCCTCGTAGATCAAACCGGAGATACGTTTCACGCCGCCTCTGCGCGCGAGACGTCGAATGGCCGGCTTCGTGATACCCTGGATGTTGTCGCGGAGAACTTTCCTGTGCCGCTTGGCTCCACCTTTTCCCAATCCTTTACCACCTTTGCCGCGACCGGTCATCTTATAGCTCTGTGTTGTTTGTGGTTTAAACGTTTCTTTAAAACTGTGTAATATGTTTTTCGAAATTATACATCGTGTCGTTACCATCGCGAAAATAAATAAACACACATATAGAGAATAACTTTTTAAAGTTGTAGTAAACATTTAAATTCTTTGAACATCAATATTTACAGAGTTATTAAATTTTCCAAAACAAAGAATTTTAGAACACCCTTACCTATAAAAGCGTAAAGTAAAGTTTATTTGTAAAGGTCACAAAGCATATGAATGGGTTAAATGAGTTTAAAGAGACATACTGTTAGGAGAGGCTTGTAATGCAACGCTGTGGCGCGAGTTGTATAGAATGTTACAAATTTTGTTTCTTTTTTACTTAATTAGTTTGTTTGAAAAACATTTTTTTTGGAACGAAGTTCCTTATCGCGCGTTGTGAAAGTGGGCTAGACGGAAAAAAAAAAAATTCTCACGAAAAGTTGTAACGACACTTTTTGCTATAGTAAGCTATTGTAAGCTGTGCGGCGTGCGCATGTTTCTCTGTCTGTTGTTTGTCTGTCAGACAATTAGAGACAGAATTAACAATAATCCAGCAGAATTAACAACAAAATATAATACTACCATTGATGCAGTTTTTGCAAGACATTTAAATAAAATAGAATCCCAAACATATGTTTCCTACTTCAGTTACCACAAGCCAATTATTACTAAAACTGAGCCTACTGATTAAGTTTATATTACATTATATTTGTTAATAATAAAAAAAATATTATTGTAACTTTTAAAATTTTAAAATTTTATTACAAATCCTTCACTAATTAATCGAAAGGAACTTCGTATTAAAATAGTATAGATTAGTGTAAGCTCATCAATCACTTCTTTTTTCACATTCAATAATATTTCTTCCAAACGCACCAAAAGAATGTAAACATAACTTCAAAAAGTATGTAAAGTTGTATTAATAATGTTGAAATTAAAGGAAAAAAAAAGATTTAAAAACATAATTAAACATACAATAAAATCAAATAAGGATCTTTACAACTTAATTTTATATTAAACACACTTGTTCCATAGTTAATATAATTAGTATTAAGACATTTTCGCTATAACATTATTTTTAACAACAGAAACCTATTAAAAAAACATCTTAAAAAAATCAGTACATAGGAATGTACAATGCCCCGCCCATTTTAAAGCCCATCCATTTTTAAGCCCCGCCCCTCAAAACACTCCCACCCAATCAAAACAACACGTGAATGAGACGGAGGCAATAATTGGTATAGCCTACTCTTTCGCACATCATCCCAATTGGACGAAAGTATCCAATTATCTCAAACTCAATACAGGGTTTCCATCTCTTGTGTGTTTCCCGTTATATGGGGAATACGAATATGTACATATTTTATTTTATTCAAGTTTCTTTTTTTCTTTTTAATAAAAATTCTCACATAAAACATACATTTTCATAAGCTTTTAAATATTGGAAGAAATTTAAACTCGCTATTTCTTAATTTTTTACTTTCTAAATATTTGTTACTTTATAACGTACCAACATCAATAACTTGCTTTAGAATGAATTATTTTATTTATTGATATATTTATAAACGCTATATGATATACGATACTTCTAAAATCGAACGTTTCTCCGACAACCTTTACATGAGCTCTGAATATGTTGGCTTTTTTTTTAAAAT